ACCAAAAAACTGAGAAGGGAAAATAAGTTCAGAGCAATTTGAAATGGAACGTTTTGAGGATGCTTTTGAAGGCAGGAATTGGGTTTTGTTGGGGTTTGTCATTTTTATATATTAGTTGGGTTTTTCTTTTTAATTGAGATCAATCTCTGAACAAAAAAGGGCACTTTGTAGCATGTAAGTCTTTGAAAACAGATGACTAAAAAAAATTAGAAGCTTTGTTCATAAAATGCTGAAATGAAACATTTTGAGTTTTCTAAAAGAATTCACATGGAAATGTGGAAATGACATGTTACAAATGTTACAGCTGCCCTCTTTTTTTTCAGCAAATTCAGCCTTTCAAGTGCAGAAAGCTTGCATTTCTTCTCCTGATTTCTTCTTTGCCTTAGACCAGCTCCACTTCTAATGAAACAGAATAGATAACAAAAGTTTTACTTGTTCCTCTTACTGTATAGTTTCTCAAAGTGGGAAGGAAAACATTACTGTCCATGTGAATATCTTCATATCACAAACTTTTCATTTAATTTATGCGCAGAGTTGTACATACATACATGTATATACTGAGGACTAAATTAGCTTTCAAACTAAGGTTACAGTTCTTGAGCAACAGTGATTCTTCTCGGAGAAATAGTCTCACATGGATTCAGAGCACATCCAAGCTGGGGGTGGACTGCAATCTAATTTAACTACTTAACCTAATTTAAGTGCTCATGGGATGTAGTTGACTATGGTGCAAAAAACCGAAAAAACAACTTTGTTTCCAAATTCTGTTAAGAAGTTTTAACTTTAGTGTACAGGCCTAAGGCAACTACATCCTAAATAAAATAACCTCATTATAATTAAGCTGATCAGGTGAGTGAATAATCAGGGATTTCACAGGAGTAATCAGGGATTTCTCTTTTGCTGTCTCTTGAGCCCAGTGCTTCCTGAGTAATTTACAGCACTTAGCCTGAAGCAGCTCAGATAAAGTTTAAGTATGGGGAGAATCTGACTCTCTGATCTCTGCTTTGCAGTTACTCTCTTTTGCAGTAAAATATATTTATGCTTTTCATCTTGAAGGACATTATGTCCATGGTGTCACCTGGTTGTGTGAGTCTGGGGTCTCAATCCACACCTCCCGTCACTGGAAAGAGGCCCTATAAGCTGTGCTGGGCTGGGTTAGGATTTCTGCCTGCTTTTCTGTCCTTTTGTTTGCTTCTCTCCCAGGAGTATTGAAAGTCTGAGCTTCATCCTAGTGTGGAAGAGGGGGAAAAAAGCAAAACCCCTGGTGGGACAGGACATTGTGGTGCCCATCTTGTGGGTGTGCATGACTCTCTCAGAGAGATGTGCAGGGAAAGCAAAGTTAGCAGCAGATGTCTCCTTGGCCTGCGGCAAGGGGAGCAAGGGTGTGTGCGAGGGGCTGATGAATTCCTGCCTTCACAAAGACACCCCAACTGGAATTTATGAGAATCCATCCACAATAAAACACTTCTAACTCTCTGTCTGGCCATCAGCCGGCTGCATCCCAGGAACGGTGGCATGAGGATGGAGCTGCCACATCTCACATTCCTCACTATCACCAGCTCCTCTCTTGATGAAACAAAATCTCCTGTTGTCTGACAGTTCTAAGAATTGAAGCAAGAAAACCTCAGTGATGTTGCTGTGCTTGGAAGCCCATGCAAAGCATGGCAGTCTCCTGAGCAAAACTTTTCCATTGCTCGTGTTGCAAAGTCAGGATGCAAATAACAAATTGGCAGACTGGGATTTCGGAAGATTCTGCACATATCTGAGGGAACAGAGATGTTACCGCAAGATTGCTGAAAAGAATTAGATTGATGATTTCGTTGTCTGGAAGATGTGTATCATCAGCAAAGGCATACAGCAAGGGCAAGTCCCTCCCTGGCCCTGTGGAAGCCCATGGGGAGGCTTGATGGGACTCAGTCCAAATGTTGCTGGGGTTACTCTGACAGGTCAGGGCAGAGGCGTTTCTGGGGTCTGCCCTGCCTGACCTATGCAGTTTTAAGCCTGGGAATTATGAAAATAATATATTGCAGGACATCATGGTGTTAATGACATTTTTCTGACCAGATCCACTCAATAGCCCTAACAAATCCCAGTGTGAGTCAATTTTCAGCGGTCAGTGCCAGCACAGAGTGACACTGCAGACCACGAGGCAGAGAAAGAAATGCTGAGACAGCCTAATGGAGCATCCAGCTCAGTCCAAGCAACTTATATGGTTTTTTTTTGTTCTTTTAATTCTTGGAAAGAATTAGAAAAGGATGGCAAATTTCACCAGAAGTGAAAGAAAACCACAGAGGTCTTTGTCTGTGGATTAAGCGTTTTCAAGAACTATCAAGAATAGATGTTTTCCTCTTTTCACTGCTTTCTGTACCTTAGGAACAAGCCATATAGGATATTTGTTGAGAGTCCAAAGTTTTCTTATTTGGACTTGGTTGTTTTAGAGAACTTGTTTTGCAGGACTGCACATCCCGGGGAAGGAAATTAAGGTCAGAGATGAAAAAAACCCACCTAAGGGCCTGAAATAATTTTCATTTTTCCAAGACCACCCTGTGTGGGAGTGATACATTTAAAAATGGGCGGAACCTCTAAGCCTGGAATTTTATCAAGTTATTCATGAAAAATCTCTGAGATCTTTGTGTGGACCAAGATATTTGGGTGGTACTTTCTCACTCTTTCTTCAGGAAAGGCACTGTGGCCTCACAAACTGAAAACTAGCCTTGCTTTTTCCCTGGCTTTAAAAATAACTATGTATCTTGAAAAGCTGTCTCAGCAGTAGTGAAGGAATGGAAAAAAAAGTCCAATATATCCCCATGGTTTCATACAGTGCAGCTGTGCTAACAGAGTGCACAGAGACTGAGACCAGGGGAAAGGCACGAAATAGTCCATGAAATGAGCAGTTGAATTTAACAGTAAAGCTTCACGTAACGCCAAGATCGATTGTCCACATATCTGATTGCAGATGGCAGGTTTTTGCCTTTATTTTTCAGGGGAAAAATCCAGAATATAAATAAATTCTAGCGCTTTGTATTAATAATTTTTTAACTGAAATCAACAGGGAAATTATAATCTTATAGGAAATATTTCTTACATTAAATTAACATATTTAAATATTCTTGCAGTATATTTGGATGAAATATCCATATTCTGTTTTGATTTTCCTTCTGATAGAATGTCTGTAGGATGACAGTCCTATTTGAAAAGAACCAGATTCATAATGAATTAATTATTTTTTTTAAATATTTGTTGTTTATTTTATTTTGATTATTATTTTTATATATAATATAGTATAATTATTGTAACTGATTTCTTAAATCAGTTTCAAACTATCTTACTTTCCTTATAGAGGAGCAAGCATATATCAACATACAACTTTCAAAAGTCCCTTTTAGGTCTTGGTGCAATTATTAGCAGTTTCTAGTAATTAAAAAAATATTAGTGCAGGCATAATGGAACAAATATCAACTAAATGTAATATGCAGTTGCCACAGTGGATCTATTCCCCCTGACTCGACTCTAACATGCTGGTGGTTAGTTTATAACCCTCTTTAGGTTACAGCATTTTAACGTTTTTCCAGTGTTTATTTATTCTCTTCCCAAAGAATGTTCTGAAATATCAAGTTTACAACCTGTGGCTCATGTGATGGTAGTGGAAACAATTAAGCCAGAAACTTTCAAAGCCACCACTGGGATTTTGATGCCCAAAGTCATTAATTTTAATAAGAAGGGAGCTGCCAGTCGTCTTAAGTGGTTTGTAAAATCTCAACCCATAAAAACACCTCTCTACTGGTTCCAGTTTACGGGGAGCTCAGAGCAAGGTAAACACGTGTAAGAAAATAGTAGGTGTTAAAAGGTGGAAAGTAGGTGTTCAGATATCCCTGAGACCACTCAAGGAATCAAAGAGCAGCCCCAACCTTGTGCTGGCACATGGGGGCTGCTCCTGCTGCAGCATCTCAGAGAGTTGTTGACTGATCAGAGCACAAGGCACGGAGAAAGAAGTTGATGGAAACAGAAATCTTGGCTACAGCTCGGTTCCTGCCACTATGTGTCTCTGCTGCCATCTCAGGATGCACATGGTGTCTGTAGGTGCTTGGTCCAGCTCCTTCCTACCTGCCGAAACTCTCCTCTCCAAGCTCACACTGTCTTATCCTCCAAGCTGCTCAATGTTGGTAGATGTTGGTACTTCGCTGATACATCATCATGGTTGGATAAAAATTAAGAACTCTTCACTGTGGCCTATGAGAGCCCCCCCAAACCTGTGAGCACCTCTTCATTTACGTGGTCTGGAGATGGCTTTGCTTCAGCCACAAGCCTGTGCCCTGGCCAAGGAATTCTTAAAGGCTTTGGAGAGCACCAGGAACTGTCAAAGGAAACTGCTGCACTGGGGAACATTCACCCTCAACAAGAAACATGAAAGAAAGTCTTAATGGGGAAAAAATTTAGAACCAGCAGATCTATCTGTGATATAAAATAGAGCATGGAGTGAGTATGAATGAGTTTGGAAAGGATTCACTGGGAGTCTGAATGATTGGAAAATAAGAAGAGGGGATTTTCTTGTGCGTTTTATTAATGAAACCAACCATGAGGAATTTTAAAATTATTTTTAAAAAACTTTCTGGTTTTCCCTTATCTGTTGTATGATCTCTGAAGAACTTCATAAATGTTGGCTACAAGTGACAAAGTTACTGTAGTATTTGCTAGTGAGTGTCATAGTAACAATAATTAATTTTCAGTAGGTATTGGAAAGACTTTCAGATGAAACACAATGCAGTAGAAATAGAGGTGACCATCAAGACTGGTATTGTAACAGACTTCAGGAAAGTCAAAAAGAAAAAAAGCTTTCATTAGTAGTAGATGTGGCTTTTTTGGAAGAGAACAAAATGTTCCATAAATGAAACATGTGGTTTCACTTGCGGCACATTTTGTACATTGTCACCAATGAAGTTTAGGATTTTTTTATTACTTTTTCATTAAAATGTCTTACTGGTTTCACTCAGGAGGCAAAATTTTTCACGTGGCTTTAATTGTTTCTGTCATAAAAGTCATAGCATCCATGTAATAGAAATAGTTTTGCAGACCACAGCTTCATATTGCCTATTAATTCTCTCCCATTTTCTGTATGTACAACTCATTGGCCCATCCCAGGGACAGGAAAATTTCTTGCAATTAAGACTCAATATGAACTTCTACTGAAGGTAGGGGAGAAAAATAACTTTATGTCATTCCTGGTTTATTAGGTTTTTGTTTCAGCTATCTTAGCTCACAATAAGTTCACATGGCTGCATACCAAGGGAGAGAGTTTATATTGACTTTCTTCTAAAATCAGTGAAACTCTAGAAGATGAAAATAAAAGGTCTTTTTCTGCATCATTCCAGTCATGTACAAGAGGTGGTAATACTTCAGAAAGGATTGAGGAGCTCTGGCAGAATTGTTTCAAGGAGGTTTTGGACAGGTCATTTACCCCTTTTTTCTTCATTACCTGCTGGAGTTCAGGTCTCACATATCCCATCCCAGCTGCCAAGCTTCCACGTGCTTCCATCATCAGCCTAGGCTTCCTTGTCCCCAGTCCTGACTGGATGAGAAGACATCATTCTTGTTGCAGTTGAAACAATGACTTGTTTTCTACAGATGATATCCAAAGGTGGGGAAAAAATAAAAAACAAAAAAGAAGATATGAGATTACTTGTGTTATCTCGTTAATTTAAGATCAGCTTCTCTTCAGGTATCTGCTTTCCTCAAAGAGAGTCATTTGCCAGCTTGGACAGCGTTTTGTCATTTGACCTTCAGCCCAGCAGGGGAGGCAACCCCTACCTCAGACTCGAAGGCCTCTAAGGAGTCATTAAAATGCCAGAAAACAGCAATAGAGTATCTGTTGCCTTTTCCCTGTTTTTCATTCAAGTGTTTACTTGAAAGCTTCCCATGAAATGCCAGAGCTGTCTTTACTTGCTGCCCCGGAGCAAAGGGCTTGTGTACCTTCTCAGCAGTCAGGGGCACTCACCAAGCAGTGCAGTCTTCTGCTTTCACCTTTATTTTGGCACCCTTCCTCCTTTACTCATATTTAAATGTTGTGTTTTGCAGTTCAAGGACCACAAAGACAAGCCCAGCCTTGGAGGGATTCTCAGTGACAGCCCTGCCCCCTGTCCAGCTTTCTGAGCAGGTCCCACTGGCGTCCCCTTCCCTGAAGCCGCAGCAGATGGACGAAGAAGACAGCCTGTCTCCTCACCTCTTGCTGCCTGACAGCATCAGCCAGCTGGAGGAGTTTGGCAGGCAGAAGAAATGGCACAAGAAGCAGCACAAACACCATCGCCAGCGGCAGTTCAATGACCTCTGGGTTCGGATAGAGGACAGGTGAGTCATGACTGCTGCGGTCCCTGTCCTCTTCCTGCTGCCTCCTAACGTGATGCTCTTTGCAGATCCCAGATCTTGCTGCTTAGACCATAGGGAGGGTTGGACAAAGGTTAACTGGGAGTGAGATGATGTTTTTGTAGTCTATTGAAGAGCTAGGAGGAAAATAGGCATGTTCATAGGCATGTTTGATCACAAAGTAAAGAGGGAAAAAAGAGTTAATGCTTAAAATATTTAAAATACCAGAAACAAAGATATGTCAGAGTGAAAAACAGGAAAAGAACAACAATAGAAAATACTCTATGCTTGTCCTTTTTCTTCCAGTAATTTTTTTCCTATCTGTACCAGCAGATAGTTTTCATCAGAAAGGCTTGCCCATTTTCCAACCATACAGAATATTCCAGAGAGTTTTTAAGATTCTAACAAATCTGACTTTCAACCTCCTTAACTGTGTTTTGGGGCTGAAATGTTTTAGCATCTCAGACTGCACTGAAAATAGCAAACTGAAGCAAAATGAAGTACTTAACTAAATCCTCTGTGTGAAGAGAATAGAGGTAGACACTTTTCCATGGCTATTCCAGTCTTGGTCTGAGGTTAAAAACTCTCATTCAATGTTTGAATAAGAGCCTTCATGTTTGACCAGGGCTTCTCAATGTGTGCTTTTAGGATTCCTGGGCAATTTATTTTCCCACCTCTAAAGCTCTTAGTGCCTTTATCCAGGCCAAGTCATGGGCAGATAAATAGCCACAATGTTTATTGATCTTCTAACAAGTAAAAGGAACTAAGTAATATGTTGGGAACTGACTACTCATCTACACATATAATAATTATCTTTAAGCATTACATATTCCCATTTTTATAGCACCTGAATTCCTTGAAAGTCTCTCAGAGATTTTTCCCTTTGCTAAGAAAAAAGGCTTCACATATTTGTGTTTTCAGATTTTTATTATTATTATTACTATGATTACTATTACTTTTATTCATTCTTTTTAATGGTGCAGTTACCTCATTTTTTGTAGTTTATTGTTTTCTCAGGGTGAATGATGTAAGGGTTGCTATTAAGGTGGTGCATATTAATCTTAATGTAATAAGGCTGTTTCTGAGGTCAGTGCCAGCCTTGTAAGAAGGATACATGTATTTTCTTTTCAAAGTGTGTTCAGTGGTTGGATCCCCTCCACAGAGGATGTTTAAGCATGAACTAGGTGGCATTGCCTCAAATACAAGTGACTTTTCTGTCCTGCCTGGGGGCTGCTGACTTGTGGTGTCCCATGATGTCCCAGCATTTCACAAGGGTCTGTGCTTCAGTTCCTCATGTATTGTACAAGTGAGGTGTTTAAATAGGTCTGGTGGGAGCCTGGCACTTGGGCACAATCCTCCCACCCCTATCCTATCTATCCAGAAAGGATATTGGATATTGGCAGTGGAAACGTATAGCTGGGAGTTTAAAGTGGTGCTTATGGATTTTTGCACCTTTTTCTGGTTTTATTAAATGCTCCTAGGAAAGGGATTTAAAAGGTAGTTCTTAAGATTAGAGTTGAATTATTTGCTCTGCGCTCCTCTGAGATTTCACCTGAATCAAAGCCTTTTATCCCTCTATTTCCATTTCATAAGGGTGGAGGTTGGGGTGAGGAAACACAAGTTTCCGCTCCCACCACAATGGTGATGAACCAGACACTGTGTGTTGCCTGTGTTGCTGAAAGATCCCAGGGAGATGTTAGTGGGAGATCACAGGCCTAAAAATGAGGAAGGGCTGGAAAAAGGGAAGCCTGCCTTAGTGCTTTCAGATGGTTTTAGTGCTTCTGCAGTTCTGAAGTAACTTCTGGTGTTTTCCTGGAAACAAAGCAAAACAAAACACAAAAAATACAAGTTCAGTAAATCAGAGACTCACAACCAACTCTGGTTTTCCCATAAATTGGATGGGGTCTCAACTTTCATAAACCAGCTGCTGCATATTGTGCTTTTGGCAGTTGGGTTTCATCAGCATTAATTGCAAGCTGGACCCTGCACAAAGCAATAAACAGTGAGTTTTCTCCAACTGGTTCCTTTCTGATTGGCAAGAAAAGAGCAGAAATGTGTGTCTGTGACCAGACCTTGTGTGGTGATCATTTCTGGGAGGAAACAGCAGGATGGCTGATCATACAGGCAATAGAGTGTTATCTGTGCAGGAGAGGAACGTGGACTTCTTTGTATTGCCTCAATAATGTTTCAGCAGTGAGGCTTAGCACTCATTTTTGAAGTGTAATTGGTGTACTAGGGAGTTGTCATTCTAACCTGTCCCAAAAATCCACTGTGCATTTGCATACACTTTAGTTGGAGTCCCCCATGCTCTGTGTGGACTGAGGTCTCTGCATTTAGAATTAACTTGAGCTATGGCCCTGTATTTCCAAATGGCTGTTCTTCCAGTTCCCTAACTCACCAGTGTCACCTGAAACTTGAATTGTTCACCTTGAGAACAATTGAGACAAAGTAGAGGGATTTAGGTCTTTGTTACGACTTTTGGGGGAAAGCTGCATAAAGCTCATTGTTTCCATTCAAGGTCCCCAGAATTCAGCTGTTGGAGCTGCTTTTCAACCTGAAAAGTCAAAGAGAAATATGCAGGTGGAGGACAAATCCAGGCGAATTTAAACCAGGTTATTGATTCCTGTATGAACCTCATTGAACTGTGAAATTACTGTGGTTCATACAGCTCTTTTCCAAAGCTTTATTGACCATGGATTAGAGGACTTTATGAGCCACGAATTGCAGGGCTTTTATGGACTACACATTTCTAGGCGATCTCATACACTTCCATGGAAATCTTAGGGTGTTTTCTTAAGCTACCAACACAGAAACAAAGGAAATGAACACAGGAGAACAATCTTAAAGGAACATCAAAGGTCTGACTCCAACCTATAAAAGCCAGGAAATCCATAATTAATGGTTCCACTAAGACTTCAGCTCTCACAGTCATTCGGGTCTGATCCAAGGTTATGGCTACAATCTGAAATGGCCTTGTGAAAAATGAGTCATCATTTAATGCCACACATCATTATTAGTATTTACTTTCAGTTGTACCTTGGAGATTGTCCTTTTCTTTTTGTTCTGTCTTCAGAGCTGAGGCATTGGAGTTGGCACGCCTGGGTGGACAGTTTAGGTTTGTGTGTTGGAGGCTTAGTACTGCTGTGGAGGATGAGAAAGCTTCTGCTCTGTCTCCTCTCTGTCTTTGACAGAGCTAAGATTTGCTGATCTCCTGGGTAATTGGTTACACTGAAGGCTATTAAAAAATAAAAAATGCTGATGAAACGTGTGGTTTCCTCTCCCTTCTGCCTTCTTCCCCCAAAATCTAAACAAACGGAAGAGGTCCTGCCTGACTGCAATTTCTGTTTGAGATGGCTTGTCAAGAATCAAAATTGAATGGAGATTTCAAGTAGCAAGATTTTTTTTTTCTTCAACTACTTGATTTTGCAGAAATGTGCAGATCTGAAGTCTATCCCTGGGGGAAATTTGAACTTAGACAAGACTGAAACCCTGGCTATCTCCCATAGCCAAAATCCAGCTGGGGCAGCAGGGAGGGGAGACAAACCCCTCAGGCTGCAAGGCTGCAGTTTGGCATACAGAGTATCATTGTTTCTGTTGACACTGTGTTAGCTAGGCTTCCCCATGTAATATAAATAATTAATTACAGATAATTCACTGGCTTTTCATGATGAGATACTCAGTTAATTGAAAGAATAAAGAAATGCCTTGTGAGGTTTCAGAGCAATCAGTGAAGGGCAGGTCAGGATTGCACCTTTGTTGTAGCAGGCAAATGGTTCAAGGGTGCCAACAAAACCAGTCCAGGAGAACAGAGAACCTCTCCCAGCTGCTGGGGGGAGTTATCCTGGCACCTAAGGCAAGGAGGGAGGAAAGCTCCTGGGAGAGAGGAGGGAGGGGGGTTATTAACTGGGAGGGCATTACAGGAGGGATGAGGTTTGGAAGGAGCAATGGCAGACAGGAGATGTGAAAGAGAGAAGTACAGTGGTGGGAAGAAAAAAAGTAGAAAGGATATAATGGTCAAGTTAATTCCCACTGCCAAGGAAGAGATCTGGGTGAAGGTGGTGTTTGGAAAGAGGGTAAGGACACACACACTTCAACAGAAAAGAAATAAGGGCAAAGAATTGTTCTGAGAAAAGAAAAAAGGAAATTCTTGTCCCAGATGTAAGCTTAGCCCTGCAAAAGCTACCATTAGTGGGAAATGAAATGAATTCTCCCTGTAAGTAGAAATGGCAGCTCTCTGATAGCCCAGTGCAGACTATTCAACCCCAGATGAATGCAATAACATCACAAATATCAATTTATTTTGGAAGAAGCAGTTGTTTTAGGGGGGAAAAATGTATAGCAGTGATGGATGAAGGGAGACAATACGTAATAAACTACACTGAGTTTGCCTGTACAGAGTGAACCTTATCAGTTTGGATGGAATTTAAGCACTTAGCCTGTTATCCTTTCTTTCAAGACAATGCAGTGATGGAAAACAGAACTCTGTCAACTCAGACAAACTTTTAATTCCATTTAACTGCATCTGAAAGGTAAATTTCAGTAAATTAATCCAAATTGCTTCCTTTTCACAACACATGGTGCTGAAATACAGTACTTAACTTCATTAAAGAAAAGACTGCTTTTATTTAGAGGAGACCTAGACACCTTTGAAGTCTAACAGGTAAATTGTGGTCAGATGATTTCCCTCCATATGGTAGCTTTGAGCTTGAAATTTCCATCACTGGGGCCTTGTTTGTTTAAATTACCCTGTCTGCCTCCCTGGTCAGGACACTGCTCGGGGAGTGCCTCCTGATGCTCATGGAGAGGGGGATCACTGCCTCCTCCAGCCTGTGCAGCCAAGGAATCAGTGTCACCTTTGCTTTTATTTGCCCTGTGCTCAACCAGGAATGAGGACACAGTTTCTGGACTTTTCTATCTTGCAGGGCATGGTATGCAAATATCTACAGTCAGCAGAACTTCAGGGTTTGTCAGTTTGGGGGTAAGAGCTTTCTGTG